CAAAAGTCAGAATTGCAGAAACTTAAAATTCCAACCAACCAGTCGGAAATCTGACGAAGTCAAAACCGAAGAATTCCATGTTTCTGTCATGCAACATAATTTTTCCCCCCAAAAAATAAAAATGTTCCCCAGAATTTGATCTAACATGTCATTTGACTATAATTTAAACTCTGAATTCTCACTAGTCTTGTCTGAAATGTAGGTTGAGTTCAGTCTGTCCCTCCACTGTCAGTGTGTTGTTGTGTGTGCAGATCTTCGCTCTCAGACAGACGGAGTCTTCAAAGATGCAGAAATACGCCACACACTTCATCAGAGGAATATCAGTGCTGATGATCCCTATAGCTGCCACAGTGCCGTCGGTGAGTACAGTAACAGCACACAGTAAACATCAGCCCTGATTACCCACAGCTCTGCTACGTTTGATCACAACAGCACAAACAATGATGGAGATTCTGGGATAAACAACAGCACATCACGTCTCCTCTGATCTGTCTGTCGCTGATATAACATTTCAAAGCCCAGAAGAGAGAAAAAAAGTCTACATTGTGACAAACTCAGAATCAGAAGTCATTGTTATGACATAAATGCAAGATAAGAAGGAAAGTCAGAATGTCATGGAAAGATGTAGGATTGGCAGAAGAATTGTCTCAAAGTCACTACAGAAAGGTCTTGCAGCAAAACTTTGTAACAAACTTAATAAAGTACAATAAATTGTGGAAAAACAAGACACAAGGACAAGAAAAGTGATCAGAACTGCAAAGAAAAGCCTGAATTGCAGGAAAATAAGAAATGTGACATGAAGAAACAATCGCAAGTCAAAAACAAAATGCAACAAATTCCAAACTATTTAAGCCAGAATTCCAACAAACAGACTGCAACAAATAAAACAAAGTCAGAATTGTGATCTAAAATACAGAACTGTGACAAAACCACACAGTTGCAAAAGATGTTAGCACGTCCACATATGGTGCGGTAGCATGTCAGGGTGTCCCGTGTTCGAATCCCTGCTCAAGGACATTTCCCTACCCTACCCCTCTCTCTCCCCAACTTCGCTTCCGGTATAAATACTGTCCTATCTAATAAAGGCAAAAAGACCAAAAATAAATCTTTAAAAAATAATAATAAAATCAGATCCAAAGACGTCTTATTAAAAATCAGAAACTTTAAAATGCATCAAAAAAGTCTTCAAATGTTAAATGTATCCAATAAGTTTGAAGTTTAAAATGTATCAAATATCCTGAACTCAAAATGAATCAAAAACTAAAGTTCATCATGTTTTATCACAAAGTTTAACTCCTGAAGGTGAAATGCATGAGAAAGTGCTGGAGAGAGAGAAGTGCTCTGATTGGCCAGAGCTCTGCTGCGCTTGTGAAGAGCAGAAACACAGACAGAGATGTTGCTGATAATCCAGCAGATGAGCACATCACGTCTCCTCTTATCTGTGCTTGTGTTGTGTCTCTGCTCTTGCTTATATAAGAGTCCACATGGGGAACGGGTGCGAGCTGACCTGTACGTTCCACTGTGAAGGACAGCAGACGCTTTAACACTGTCATCATGCTTTTCATACAGAGAATGCATCCCACAGATGCAGAAACACATACTATCAGTCTAAAATCAATATGACTACCTCATATTCAATATATATTATAAAAGTATAAAATTCACCCTAGGCGCAGTGGCGCAGTGGGTAGCACGTTCACCTCACAGCAAGAAGGTCGCTGGTTCGAACCTTGGCTCAGTTGGCGTTTCTGTGTGGAGTTTGCATGTTCTCCCTGCCTTCGCGTGGGTTTCCTCCGGGTGCTCCAGTTTCCCTCACAGTCCAAAGACATGCGGTACAGGTGAATTGGGTAAGCTAAATTGTCCGTAGTGCATGAGTGTGTGTGTGAATGTTTCCCAGATGGGTTGCGGCTGGAAGGGCATCCGCTGCGTAAAAAAACTTGCTGGATAAGTTGGCGGTTCATTCTGCTGTGGCGACCATGGATTAATAAAGGGACTTAGTCGACAAGTAAATGAATGAATGAAAATTCACCCTCCACTCAGCTGAAGTCTAGAAGGGATACAGCTAAAGAATAATTTTAAAATCTAGAGGGGATACAGCTAAATAATCATGGTAAAGTCTAGAAGGGATACAGCTAAATATTCATGGTAAAGTCTATAAGGGATACAGCTAAATAATAATGGTAAAGTCTAGAGGGGATACAGCTAAATATTCATGGTAAAGTCTATAAGGGATACAGCTAAATAATAATGGTAAAGTCTAGAGGGGATACAGCTAAATATTCATGGTAAAGTCGAAAATGGATACAGCTTCATCAGTATACAATAATAATTATTTTATGTTGCTGTGAGAGGTTGGGGTTGACGCTGGTGTAGACGTTAATAAAACAATGAAATTGGTCATTTAATTAAAATTATAAAAAATTCTCATTTGCTCCTGGTCAGAGCTGTATCTCTTTTAGCTACAAATTTCAGAAGCCTTGCTGTTATTAGAAAGTAGAGAAGGGAGAAAGGAAGCTGTTCAAAGCTTGGAAAAGAATTGAACTAATCGCTTTGTAAAATTATGAACTTTTTCAAAGCGTTGGAAACAACACCTAACCAAAACTAATGCAGCTAAAACTGTAATGCTAAACATCCATTAGACGTGGCTCTTTCAAACATAGTGGGAACTTTAAATAGACAGTATACCCTATAAATGCATTTAACTCATCGTCTGATATCAGTCAGTATTAAGTATTTGCAAAATTTGTGTTATTTTATCATATTTCTTTCAAGGCTTTTATATTGTTTGTTCCATCATGAGCTCTGCTAAGCAGGCCAACAAGAGAATAATCATTATGTTAATTTTACAAATGTCTCAATAAAATGTTTGCAAAACACGGAATCATTGAATTTCTAAATTTTTTAAATTAGTTATGATGCAGACATCACGATTACAAAGCAGCCTTGACTCCAGGTGTGTGTGTGTGTGTGTGTGTGTGTGTGTTCTGTTTCTCCAGTCCATGTGTGTGTATTGGCTGAGCTCCAGCTGTGTTGGTTTGGCTCATAACCTGCTGCTGAGATCTCCTGGTGTCCGGAAGCTCTGCCGGATCCCAGAAACACGCTTTGACTCTCAGACGCCCTACAGAGACATCGCCGCCGCGTTCATCCACAAATACAGCAGAGCAGGAGCTCACAGCGGAAAATAGACTGCAATGGCCAGCGCTACATAAAGAGGATTTGTGGAATAAAGAGAAAGGCTCCGGTTCATCTTCAGTGCTGTTCACTATAATCTCCATCATCATGGATTCAAGAGGACTTTCATTTTACATCACAATTTCTAGAGTTCATTTACAATTTTACTGTTCAAAGACTAAAAATAAAGATGTGATCAGTCATCATTGGTCATTGCATTCTATTGCCAGTTTTGCTTATTAACATTTTTCTTTAAATATAGAAATAAATCAGGGTTTTTTGCACAGCAACTCATGATCAACAGCAAACACTGGGTCCTTCTTCCCAACAGAGAAAGTCAGCAGCAGTCAGTAATGCAGGATGATCTGCTGTCAGGGCTTTACTATCAATAAATGTGATTATAATGGAAGTGAATGGAGCAACAACAGACAACATCACCAAGCAGAGTCAGTGTGAACAGTGTGTTGATGAGTTATGAAAACTCTCACAGCATTTCCCCAAAATATGTGTCAGACTCCGATTATTCAGCAGAAATCATCACATTTACTGAAACACAGAGAAAGATGAGGACAAATGAAGACTCGACATCAACCCAGAGTGGAGGAAAACAACCCAACAGCACACACGAGTTAAACTTGGCTCTTGACTTGTAAAGGATTCTGCAGAATAGCCTAACAACCACTAAACTCCTCTCATGCATCAGAAGACACGATGCATTCCTGACTGACAGGAGCTCTGCCTCGGTGAGCTGGAACTGAACAAGTGTCTATGAAGTGTTTAAAGCACACCTCTTCTGTAAACGTGCAAGCTCACAGAGCACCAAAGAAGAGGGAAAGAGGTGAACCGTGACTCATTACTGTTACCTGGTTGAAAAGTCCAGATACTTGATTTATAAAACAGTACCAAATATCTCACCATCCACCGCTTCACTGACTGTAAAAACACTGATGACGGGTTTATGAGGGAAGCCTGATGAGCAAAGACGCAGAGAATAAGTGGTCAGGGCATCTGTCAGGTTTAGTGTTGTAATATTAAAATGCTCAAGAATAGAAAATAATTGTGAACACGAGAGATGGTGAAGTTACCGCCGTGCCCACCATGCAGTTTCATGTTGTTTTGTAGACCAACACTGAATGATCTCTCTACATTCGCATGTGTGTGTGTGTGTTATTCCTGATGTTTAGTGTGTTACTTTAACTATCGCCCTCAACAACAACAAAGAATGTGCCAGTGTCTGCTGGCCCCTGCTTGGCCACCGCTCTGAAAAATCCCTGCCCCCACCACACACACACACACACACTAACATGTGCACACATCCGCACACATAAACACTATATATTCACATGCACATATGTACACAATATAAATCACACACACACACACACACACACTAACATGTGCACACATCTGCACACATAAACACTATATATTCACATGCACATATGTACACAATATAATCACACACACACACTATATATTCACATGCACATATGTACACAATATAATCACACACACACACTATATATTCACATGCACATATGTACACAATATAATCACACACACACACTATATATTCACATGCACATATGTACACCATATAATCACACACACACACATACACACACACACTATATATTCACATGCACATATGTACACAATAAAAATCACACACACACACACACACACACACATAAACACTATATATTCATATGCACACAATATAATCACACACACACACTATATATTCACATGCACATATGTACACCATATAATCACACACACACACACACACACACACACACACTATATATTCACATGCACATATGTACACCAGATAAATCACACACACACATAAACACTATATATTCATATGCACACAATATAATCACACATACACACACACACACACTAATATGTGCACACATCTGCACACATAAACACTATATATTCACATGCACATATGTACACAATATAAATCACACACACACACACACACACACACTATATATATTCACATGCACATATGTACACCATATAATCACACACACACACATAAACACTATATATTCATATGCACACAATATAATCACACACACTCTAATATGTGCACACATCTGCACACATAAACACTATATATTCACATGCACATATGTACACAATATAATCACACACACACACACACTTTTTTACTGCATGTCTGAGAATGCATGTGGATGTCTGCAGCCAGATACTACTGGAGTTTGCACTGATCAGGGGGGTCTGGATCCTCAACCGAGCTCCACTAACCAACACTACTAGCTCAACAGACTAATAAGTTTATTAATATTTATTAAGGTAAGTGGAGATTAGCTTTGGGGAAGTGGATAGAAATATAGAGTAAGATCACACTTTATAACCACACATGAACAGTTACTAACGTAATAACAGCACAGGTCATTGAACAGCATTAATTGTGACCTAAACTATAGTCACAGAGACATTAAATTAGACTGTTTGTGCTGGAAACACTGCTTTGTCCATTAATGTGTCCATTTGTATGTGATCATCATGTAATAAAACAATTGCCCTATTCATATTTGTGTGTGCATTAAACAGTTGAGGAATATTTCATTCAAATGCACATGAATAAATTAATGAACAGAAACACAGCAGCTCATGAGGATTTAAACGATTACATTAGACTTGTAAAGGATCAACAACCAAACCCTTCTCACGCATCAGAACACACAATGCATTCCTGAGCGACAGCAGCTGGGTGAGCAGGAGACTGAGGTTGCGCTGATCTGGGCGGGTCTGAATCCTCCTCACCCGAGCACCGGACACCCAACACACACTCGTACACACACACTCAGTCAGTCAGCATGCTGTGTGTTCTCGTCCTCGCCCTGCTCGCCTCGGCCTCAGCGCAGCGGCTCTCCCGGGGATGCGGCTCCTGTGACCGGACTCAGTGCGCTCCTCTGCCGGCTCAGGGCTGCTCCTCCGGGACGCTGCGGGACTCCTGCGGGTGCTGCGAGCTCTGCGCCGCCGCGGAGGGAGAGCCCTGTGGCGGGCGCGGAGTATCGGCCAGGCGCTGCGGATCCGGGCTCGAGTGCGTCAAGCCTGATAAGAAGAGCAAAAGCGGGATCTGCGTCTGCAAGAGCGGAGTCCCGGTGTGCGGAACCGACGGACGGAACTACAACAGCGGCTGCGCGCTCCGGGCGGCGAGTGCGCGCGCGCTGCAGGAGAAACAGCCGGAGATCCGCGTGCACAACACGGGCAGATGCGCGCAGGGTGAGCAGCTCTGGATGGTCAATGCACTGATGAGCTACAGATATCAGGAAAATAGCAGATTTGCGTATTTTGAGATAAAAGTTTTTTGCTTTTGACTGTCAAAAATATGCATAAATTAGCAGTTTTGGGTTTCTTGACTTATTTTTTCTTTTTTTCTTTTACACAGTAAAAATATGCATAAAATAGCAGTTTTGCATATTGTGAGATTAATTTTTCAGTTTTACACAATAAAAAAAACCCCGTAAAATAGTATTTTTTGCAGCAAAAATAGGCTATTCAAAGATGATTGCTTGCATTTACTAATTTGTTTAAGTTAAGTGGTTGTAAACAATTTATTTGGGTTGAATTTAAACAAACAAATTAAGTTCAACATTACTAAAATGTATTAGTTTACACACCAGGAAGAAATGCTGGGTTTTTAAACCCAATATGGGTTAAATGTGGTCCTAATTTAATTTAAAATGTTAATCCAGCAATCAGGTTAGTCCATATTACACCCAGAATTGGGTTGAAAATAACCCAGCATTGTTAGAGTGCATATAAATTGTTTGCATCAGTTTTGCAGAAATCATTTGTTCAGTGTATTTTGAGATTATTGCCTGTTCCCTGTACAGTGCTCAGCATTATTGAGTAAAGTCTATTCTGACAGTGAATATTTTCCTCCGTTTCTCAGTGAATATGTATTTTGGTGCATTTAAACAAAACAAATTTATTAAACAGATATATTTATTAAAATAATATTTTAGTCACAGAACATATTTGGAAATTGAGAGATAATACAAATAAACAAGCAAATATTGCAAAAAAAAGACAACCTACAAAATATCAACTACATTTTTACATCTTGAAGCGTTATCGTAAGTTATTTGTTTTAAAGCAGTTTTGTTTATTTTGAGATTAATGCTTTCTGTGATCTGCATTATTTCTATATAAGTTTATAACTATATAACTATATATATAACTATATAAGAAATAAGTTTCTTTCTGCCAGTGAAATGCATTATGAACTCTCGATCTTTCTTACAACAACTTGACAAGTTTGAAGAAGTGACAGACATTTTAAATAGTTTGCTGTGCTATATTGTCTGGGTTAGTAAAACCTTGTAATAAACTGCAGCACATTTTCTGTTATTTATTTCTCTGCAGTATAACAGTAAGCCTTTAGATTAAATCACACGGTGGGCTGTTTTAACCCAATGTTGGGTCAAATAATGGACAAACCCAATATCTGATACATTTTGCTCAACCACATCCCCGATTTATCAGGGGGCAACCCAGCATTTATAAAGTTTTTTATTTTTTTTCAATTAAAAAAGGCTTTAAGAAAATTTGTTATATTCTTCCTCAGTTTTTTTTTTTTTTTGTAATTTGAGCTACAATATCTCTAGTAAAGATAGTTAGACTTTTTTTTATTAATTAAATTCAAAATTATAGGGAGGCGTCATGGTGGCGCAGTGGGTAGCATGATCGCCTCACAGCAAGAAGGTCTCTGGTTCGAGTCCTGGCTGGGTCAGTTGGCATTTTTTTGTGGAGTTTGCATGTTCTCCTCGTGTTGTTGTGGGTTTCCTCCGGGTGCTCCGGTTTCCTCCACAGTCCAAACACATGCGGTACAGGGGAACTGATCAACTACACTGGCCGTAGTGTATGAGTGTGTGTTTATGGGTGTTTCCCATTACTGGGTTGTGGCTGGAAGGGTATCGCTGTGTAAAACATATGCTAAATAAGTTGGTGGTTCATTCCGCTGTGGCGACCCCTGATTAAGAAAGGGACAAAGCCAAACAGAAAATGAATGAATGAATGAATAAAATTATAGGACCAAATTTAACCCGACGTACTGTATAGGTTTGACCAAATTTGACCCATCTCTGCGTTTAAACAACCCAGCATTTTTATAGATGTTACTTTTTTTTTAAATAATTTAGTTTTTAAAAAGCTTTTTATTAAATTTGTAATATTTTAGTTCAGTTTTATTGTAACTTAACCCCTAAAGTTAACCTTTAAATTAAATTATCAAAACTATTTTGAATCCAAAATAATGCAAAACTAATAATTAATGAATAAATAGATTATTATAAGGATATTTGCAACAAACTGCCCAAAAATGATCAGCAGAGAAAACTAATTAATGAAGTTACTCCGCACATTACTCACACTCTGCTGTATTTTGATGTAGGTGTTTAAATGGAACACACTGAATATAGAGCAGTAATGCAGAGGAATTCAGACTTCTTTACAGGTCTGTGTACATTCTGAGCTCTCTGCGATATACAACACTGCCTGATTTCTAAACAGTCATGCAGGTTTGTTCATCATTATTTGACATTTTGAAGATCATTTATGTATTTGTGTTTAACAGGCCCCAAAGACATCCTGCCCTGCTGTGTTTGTAATGTTCATAGAGACTCACTGTTTGCATGCATGCAGGAATTTGTAAAGTGTTGAATCTTCAGTCCACCCACAGCCACTCAAAGCTCCCTCCTGGATTCATTCCAGGACAATCTGACCATGAGGATCAGAGAAATGCACTTCTGGCTGCACAATATATATCATTTCAGCATCCATATCGCAATGCACAGATCTGATTGTCATTGTAACATTTATCCATAATGTACTGTTGTCATTTGCATACAGTTGAAGTCAGAATTATTCGCCCCCCTGTTTATGTTTTCACCAGTTTCTGTTTAACAGAGAGCAGATTTCTCCAACACATCTCTAATCATAATAGAGTTAATAACTCATCTCTAATAACTGATTTCTCTTTGCCATGAGGACAGCAAATAATATCAGACTAGATATTCTTCAAGACACTAGTGTTTAGCTTAAAATAAATATTGCAAAAATAACAAGAACATCAAACAATATCAAACATACAAAATTTTAACAAAATATTTTGTTTCTCTTGATTTTTCCTCTTTTTTTTGTTTTTATTTACTATTTTTCTGTTACATTTAAATTTAGTTTTGCACCATTATTTTTGTATTTATTTTTATACTATTTAATATATAATAACTAATATTGGTGTTTATTTATTTATTTTTGTTTCATTAGCTCCAGATTAGGCTTGGTAATGCACAAATATAATATTGTATGTTATATATGTTATACGTGTTTACTCGTATATTTCAATCAAGCATGCATGCCTGTGTGTGTGTGTGTGTATGCATTAGGGTTGCACAGTTTAACGGTACAATGGTAGCATCGCTAGGGATGCACCGATATGGATTTTTTGGCTGATAACCAATTACTCTTAAGATTTGTAGGCCGATAGCGATATATTATAGCTGATAATTGTAAATATTTATTTATAAATGTTATATTTTCATACACTGAGCGAAGGATTTAAATATGCTGATCAAACTGAATACAATCTACATCAACAACACATGGCAAGCAACGTGTTGATAAGAACAAATAATAATATTAGATTACAAACAACCCAGTGAGTTGTTTAGCATGTGTGCATCTCTGCTGTGTTTACACATGTAATATTTAAACCAAAATACACAATGACACTCCATCAAACATGTGTACAATGAAGAGGAACATGGTCACTTACTGAGTTATTAATGTCAATACCACATCAAGGACGGACTTTGAAGGAATAAACAATGTGAGGAGAGCTTCATTATAGTGCACTGGACAAGTCTGAACAGGTTCTGCCCATGCAAGTGCGAGGCAGACAGGTCTGTACAATTACCTAATTTATCAGCTTTAAGATATCATAAGATAAGATATTAATTTTGACATCAGATCCATAATGATAATCTTAAAAATAGCATTTAGCGGCCGATAATGATATAGCTGTCGGTATATCGTGCATCCGTGAGTATCTCAACACTATGGCTCCAAAATCCTGGCGGTGCCTCTGTAGTTTAAGAACAGCTATCGTGATACTTCAGCTGCTATAGTATTATGGCCTAAAAGTATAGTATCGTGACAACCCTAGTATGCATGCATGTTTGTGTTCCTCAGTGTTTTTACACTGGCTGCAGGATCTCCGTGAACAGACATGCCTGAGATTCATTCCAGCTCTGAAAGGAGAGATCAGCTGATCAAACAGCTCTGTCTCCTTTAACAAAACACACACACACACACACACACACACACATAGAGACTGCGGAGGAATCAGTCAACCTGTGTGTAATTCAGAAACAGTGTTCAGACACGCCACGGAGAGAGACACTGAGGTTCCTGCACAATGATAACACAGCTAAAACACACATGACATGACAGAACAGGTGCACACTACACACTTTTACCTGCGTTTCACTACACACGGTGCAGTAACCACAGCCAAAGTCAACCTTTTTAAAACATATATACTTATTTACAGCTTTAATAGTGTCAATCAGATACTAGGGGAGTTGAGCACATAAGAAACTCCTTCATAATGTTGTCTTTATAATTAGTCATTAAACAGTCATTTATTTAACTTTAATCCAAAGCAACTCAGCATCAGAATACCCTGCTATTAACCCGTCCTGTGTGCTGCTGGGTCATTTTCCTCCACTCTGGGCTGATTTTGAGTCTTCATTTGGCCTCATCGTTCTCTGCATTTCAGCAAATGGAAGGATGTTTGCTGAAACCTTATTTTAACACATTTTGGAAAAATGCTTTGAATTTTTAAAAAACATTTCAACAATGCACAACACTAACAGTACAATGACAGATCATCCCTCTCAATCCCAACAGGGGAAACCAGCAGAAACCAGTCAGTAATGCAGGATGATCTGCTGTCATAACTTTACAATCAATAAATGTGATTATAATGGAAGACAATAGAGCTAAAACAGCACCAAAGGGAGTCCATCTGCCCAGTACAGAACGATCAATACAGATTTTCTGACATTAAAGCGTTAATGTTAGTGTAGTTGACCGTGCAGACAGTAGGGGGCGTATATTTGCGCTCCCGCGCGACTCTGGTGGTATCGCTAATGACTCGACATGCAGGTGAAGGATATTAACAATATTTAATCGTCAAATGCCGCGACTGACAAGTTATATTACGCCAAAAAAGTCAATTTCATAATTCATGAATATATTGGAGTACTATTTGTGTTCTATAGTATATTGTATTCAGAAAAACCTTCACTGAAAACCCCGCTGTTTACTCACCTCATGTTCTGGTTTACTCCCAGCTTTCTGAAGAATATCTTGAAGACAGGCTCCAAATCCAAACATAAATAGCGTTACTCATAATGTGAGCGATTTGAATGTTATCGGAAGTATTTTAAAGCCTCGCGGTTGATTTGTGTGAAGAAATGTCCGAAAATTCACCTGAGCATGTTCACGAGTCTGAATCAAACCGCTCGCTGGAATCGGATCTTTTACTGAATCGACTCATTAAATACTTTTAAACGATTCATTTGTCGGACTCCATTCTTGTTTTGGTGAATTTTTAATCTGTTCCTCAAAGGCACCATATGGTGATGATGATGATGATGATGATTTATGAGGCTTTTTCATCTGTTTTAATGCTTCATTATGCCGCTCTTTAATCAATTGAAGAGAAGCTTCAGTGTATTGGAATGAATGTAGACTTCAGTGTTTGATACTCAATGTAATACATCTTTATATATTAATGACCTTTTTATTTCCCTGTGTGTGTGTGTGTTCGTGTGTGTGTGAAGGGCCGGAGATCGTGACTCCTCCAGGAGAGGTGTGGAACATCACTGGATCTCAGGTGTTCCTCAGCTGTGAAGCCATTGGGGTCCCCACACCTGTGCTCACCTGGAGGAAGGTCATACATCATACACATCACACATGCATATCTAACACACACACATATGTATTGATCACATGCATGCATCATGAACACGCATGCATCATGCACACATTCATAAATCACACAAACTCTACTGTTCTCCTATGTAAAGGAAGGATGTGTGTGTTCTGGACGTGCCGTTCTGTGAATAACAGCACAAACAATAGCAGCACAAACACAGAAGGAAACTCTGGATCAGGCCTGTCGTCACACACATTCCTGCATCCACACACACACACACACACTCACACATCAGTGAATTCTGGGAAGTCCTCAGAGCCTGGGAAACATCCGCCTTCAGATGGAGTGTTCCTCTGTGTGTGCAGGAGTTATTAAAGCAGAGGTCACACTGGCTCTATTTTAGGATCATAATCGGGTTAGTTATGCTTCAGAAATGCAGGAAACTGGATTATATCCTGCAGAACGTCTGGAGACATGAGGGATGTGTGTGTGTGGGTATTACCCAGAATTCCACAGAGTCAGAGTTTAAGCAATCAAAACAAACCCATGCTGGAGTGCGGTTAATGACCGTCTCAGATGTTTATATTGCTCCACTGCTCCTCAAACCACTAGATTCTAATACATTTCAACACACATTTGGAATAAATGCTTGTATTTGGTTGACATATTTTAATAAATACAGCTCAGAGAGTTTAGATGCTGACAGTGAATGAGATGAACATCACCTCACTCATGTATTCTGACAGGTTAATCAGCAGCTGTTGTTGATGACTGAAGGCTTTATTCTGAATAACCGCCGGCTGGATGTGCATTATGCTGATTTTTACATGACTGCTAAACTAGCAGACACAAAACATTGATCTAATAATGAACAGGAGAGTTAAATTCACCAAAATTCACTGTGAAATTACAAATGTACATCTTCATAGGGTGTGTGTGTGTTCTGTGTGATCCGCAGGTCTCGGGAGGCTCAGAAAAGCCTGTTCCTCTGCCCGGAGATAAAGATAATCTGGCGGTGCAGACCCGTGGCGGCCCCGAGAAACACCAAGTCACCGGATGGGTTCTGGTGAGTTCCAGCATTAGTTTACTATGGGAATAAACATTTACTCATCATTTACTCTCCTCCGCATCCAACATGGTCAATTTTTTTAGTCTTGATGCAGGTTTTTTGAGGAAAACAGGAGTAGGAGTTTACACTATATAGTGTAATTAACTTATAAACTACAGCTTCAGTGCAGCTTTTAATGACCCAGCATAATAAATGTGTAATAAATGTAATCCAAAAGTAGTCAGATTACATCACCATAAATCTGTAACAAAAGTAATGTAATCCAAAAGTAGTTGGACTACATCACCCTAAATGTTTCAAATGTAATCTGACTACTTTTTAGTGAATTACATTACCACAAATATGTAACAAAAGTAATCTAAATGTAATTTGCTTACATAACCATCAATGTGTAGGACAAGTAATCTAAACGTATTCCAAAAGTAGTCAGATTACCTAACCATAAATGTGTAACAAGTTATTTAAGTATAATCCATTTACATCACCATAAATGTGTAATAAAGTAATGTAAATGTAATCCAAAAGTAGTCAGATTACATTCCCATAAATGTAACAAGTAATCTAAATGTAATCCATTACATAACCATCAATGTGTAACAAAAGTAATCTAAATGTAATCCAATTAAAATCACCATAAATTTGTAATAAAAGTAATGTAAATGTAATCCAAAAGTAGTTGGACTACATCACCCTAAATATTTCAAATGTAATCTGACTACTTTTTTGTGGATTACATTACCACAAATATGTAACAGAAGCAATCTAAATGTAATTTGCTCACATAACCATCAATGGGTAAGAAAAGTAATCTGAATGTAATCCAAAAGTAGTCAGATTACCTAATCATAAATGTGTAACAAGTCATTTAAATGTAATCCATTTATGTCACCATAAATGGTGTAATAAAAGTAATGTAAATGTAATCCAAAAGTAGTCTGATTACATTACCATAAATGTAACAAGTAATCTAAATGTAATCCATTACAAAACCATCAATGTGTAAGAAAAGTAATCTAAATGTAATCCTAAAGTACTTCATTTAATAAGTAATCCAAATGTAATCCAAAAGTAGTCAGATTATATTGCCATAAATGTGTAACAAGTCATTTAAATGTAATCTGTTTACATAACCATAAATGTGTAATAAAAGTAATGTAAATGTAATCCAAAAGCAGGCTGACTACATCACCATAAATTATGTAATCGAAGAGTAGTCAGATTACATTACCATAAATGTAACAAGTAATCTAAATGTAATCCATTAACATAACCATCAATGTGTAAGAAAAATAATCTAAATGTAATCCTAAAGTAGTCTATTTAATAAGTAATCCAAATGTAATCCATAGTAATCAGAGTACATCACCATAAATGTGTAATAAAAGTAATCCAAATGTAATCTGAAGTAGTCAGATCTATGCACTGAGATGTATGCAGACTGGTATTTAGAGGAGTAGTTAAATTACTCCACTGTTACTTTCAGACAAGATAATTAAAGTAATTTAAATACAATTGTAATAATACGATCAATAACAAATTACTTTGTTGAAGTAACTTGTTACGAGAGTGATTTCCTGTAAAACACAACAAACTGAGGGTGTTTAGTGAACACTGCTGCTCTGGTCACAGATCTCACCGCTCACTAAAGCTGAGGACGGATCCTACGAGTGCCACGCCAGCAACACACAGGGCGAAGCGTCCGCCGTGGGCTCCATACATGTGGTGGAATCCATCAGTGATATTCCTGTCCAGATGGGTGAGTGAACTACTGATACACAGTCACAGCGTGACCATGGCAGATTACACATCGTCTGGATTATGTCATTTATATGGTGGAAAAAAAACAAGCTGCAATTTAAAAAGGACATGCAATTACAAAAAACACAGCAAATTAAGAAAAGATCCTCATCGGCTCGACAGCTAACGTTCTGCAAATTCTCACAACACAAACATCAGCATAAATGTGTAATAAATGTAATCCAAAAGTAGTCGGATTACATCAGAATAAATGTTCAGTAAATGTAATCTAAATGTAATCCTAAAGTAGCCTGAACACATCATCATGAATATCTATCAAAAGTAATCTAAATGGAACCCAAAAGTGGTCCAATTACGTCACAATAAATGTGTAATAAAAGTAATCTAAATGTAATCCAAATGTAGTCAGATTACATAACCATAAATGTATAAAAAAAAAGTCATCCTAATGCAATCTAAAGATAATCCGATTACATCACAATAAATGTGTAAGAAAGGTAACCTAAATGTAATCCAAACGTAGTCAGATTACATTACAATAAATGTGTAATAAAAGTAATCTAAATGTAATCCAAACGTAGTCAGAGTACATTACAATAAATGTGTAATAAAAGTAATCTAAATGTAATCCAAATGTAGTCTGACTAAATCAGAAAAGGTGTGTAATGTAAATGTAATCCAAAAGTAGTCCGATTACATCACCATAAAGGTGTAAAAAAGTAATCCAAATGTAATCCAAAAGTAGTCAGATTACGTCAGAATAAATGTGTAATTAACAGATTGTATCACTACGTCCACCTTCAGTTGTGTAATTAGTAATCAGTGAGTGACGGGAGTTCATCAGTACTCCTCGCTTCACGCTCCAGGACTGATTTTGACATGTCAGACGTGTCCCATCATGCACTGCTCCAGTTCACTGTAAAAACAGCAGATCCTGAGCCTCAATCCGTCATTGGACTGCTCCTCTTCAGTCACGCTCCAGCATTCCAGCCCAGATCAGATTGATGGATTGATTCTGGGAAAATCTAAAAGCGTTACAGAACCCAAACACCACGACACAAGAGCTTCCAGAGAACATGCAGAATATCCACGCTGAGGCTTTCCACTGAAAAACAACATCCCTACAGCACACATCCCACCTGCCCCACAGCAGCAGCAGCAGCGTCGAGCTAGACAACATCAACACAATGAGTGTGCTGCACTTCTATTTCTGCTGCAAGTGTCCAGCAGACACAGCCACTTCATGTAAAGCAGGACCTGATCCATTATTCTGAAAGCAACACAAGCATACACTCAAGCACTGAAACTAAACACACTGTCTCCTTGTTTTGTGTGTTTGCAGTGAAGGACAGCGAGCTGTAAGAGGACACACAGGACGAAGCACTGAACACACACACACACACTGAACTCACGCCGACAACACCAGCACACGGACACTTTACTCCAGGAGCAGTGCTGTGTTCATGCTGTATTTCTCTACCTCCTGCATCTGCCCGCAGGACGCTCTGAAAAACACCAACATCAGACGGACTCTCCCAGACACAGCAGTAAACACACGTCTCCCTGTACACTTCATAGGGAACATCATAACATTTATCTCAGCTGAACACTTATCAGATGCAGGCTTTGCTTCTCTTACACACACACACACACGCGCACACACACACTTGTTTTTTTCTTTCAGCTGATGTTGTCTATGGTGCTGAACAACTTCCTGAAGCATCAGCTGTATCTCTAATGTTTAGATGCTGTTCTTTAAAGCCTTACAGGGTAAATGTTTTATATACTACTACCACATTTAAACTTTACACTTACACCAAGTAATTCTATTGAAAGTTCTGTTAAAAACTGAACAAAATAAAAATGTTAAATATGAAATATAGAATGATGTGAATGGGGGAAACCTTTTATATTTGATTTAGAGTTCTCAATTGTATTTAGAGTAAATCTTTAAATTCTTGAAATGTTTTAAGAACTAAGATCTCGTTTATAAAGGCTCTTTCCTAAATTGAGTGTCATTTTAGAGCTTTGAGCATCTGATGCGTTGATATGTGTACATCACTCCTGAATAAAGATGTCAAGTTTGCGTGTCGTCATCTGTGTGGGGGAACTCTGCTGTCAGATATTGAGGATTGAACAATGTCTTATTAGAAAAAAAAGTTGCTTTATTTTGTGTTGAACAGCCGAAACATCTGTTCTACAATAATGACGACACATAAAACAATAAGCCGTGAAGCGCCCCGTGTGAGTGTGTGTGCTCAGCTGGTCATCATGCGCGGGGCGATGCTCATGGACATCAGCTCCTGGAACAGCAGTTTACAGGCGTACGGCATCCGCACCAGAGAGATCTGCAGGACAACAATGACACCATTACAGCAGCAGGAGAACACCTCACAGCTTCATGAGCTTAATTATTCTATTATTTATTTATATCATTTAATGTTTTTATTTTAATGATTATTTTATTTTATTATTTATTTTATTAAATATTTGACTTTATTTTATTATTTTGTATGTTTTTTATATGATTTAATATTTGTATTTAATTTATATTTAATATTTGTATTAATTTTAGTTTTATTTTTTATTTTATTTATATTATTTAATATTTGAATATATTTTTTATTTATTTTATTTATTATTTGTATTAAATTATTTTGTATTTTATTTATATTATTTAATATTTGTATTTATTTTAATTTATATTACTTGATATTTGTATTCATTAAGCATTTTATTTTATTTATATTATTTATATTTAATATTTGTATTTATTTATTTTGTACTATTTTATTTCATTTATATTACTTAATATTTGTATGTATTTTTATTTATATTATTTAATATTTAATTTTATTTATTTTGCATTTTATTTTATTTAAATTATTTAATATTTGTATTTATTTTATTTAATATTTAATTTTATTAATTTGCATTTTATTTTATTTAGATTATTTAATATTTGTATTTATTTTATTATTTTGTATTTTATGTTATTTATATTTGATATTTGTATTTATTGTATTAATATTATTTAATGTGTATTCATTTATATTACGTAATATTTGTATTTATTCAATTATTTTGTATTTTATTTCGTTCATATTATTTAACATTTATATTTTTAGTATTAATTATTTTGTATTTTATGTACATCAAAATAATCTCCAATTGGGGTGAGTAAAATAATGTTGTGATAAAACAAACACTACATTATTCTGCTTCCCCCCTAGTCAGATTATTTTGCTTTGTTTAAAGGAAAAACTCACTCCATTGTGACCAGTTCTGAAATAGTGCGCTCACCTGCGTTTTGTTGCGGCAGCCTCTGCACTCGTAGGTGTGTGTGCGTGTGTTAGCGATGGCCATGAGTCCACACAAGTTACACACGTGCACCTGATATGGGTCCGAGGCCTCGAACAGACGCTCCTTCAGGAACTGAGCAGCTCCGTGAGCGATCTGACAATCACGCTCCATCTCTCCGAAACGCAGACCACCGTCACTGCGCGCGCACACACACACACAAAACTGTCATTTTCTCATGAAGCCACTGCAGAATCCGTAGAATCCAGTTTGTTGTGATTCGTTAAATCCCAACACTTATTAGCATTAATACATGCCATGGTAAAGCCATTAGTAAAGCCATGGTCACGCTGTAAGATTAAAGACTAAATTCTTTTAGATTATAAGATTAAAGTCTCAAATCTTCAAATTTTCTGATCTTTGAAACTTTGCAGATCTTTTGCCTTCACAAACAGCTGCATAACACACACCAGGAAAGCTCAAATTCACACACAGCACTGATTTTTAGCTGGATAAAAATAAAAATGTTAAAATAAAAAAATATTGTTAAATAAAACAAATTAAAATTTATAAAAAAATGTAAAGGAAATAAAAAAAGTTAATTAAATTTTTAAATTAATAATTTATTAAATAAAAAAATGTTATA